AAGTGGAATGTGGATTAGATCGAACTGCTTGAAATAAAAATAGAGGACGTCGGTTAGAGGAAACACAACTCCCTGTAGCCAGTAAACGATGTTGTCTTGACATCAGTGATCCAGGTTTACGTCTGACGAGTGTAAACACCGCGTCTCAATCGGTTATGTTCGACCGTAGATAGTAGAAAGTAATGTGCACAGTAGTGCGGAAGGCCGCCACAGCTCTGTCTTCCGGTAGTCTCTGACTACAAGGCTATTAGAGTTTTCTTCGAGTACGTGTGCTCAGGAGTTTGGCTTTCTACCAAGCAGTTTTACTCAAGTCATCTCCCGTGGAAATAAAAAGCTGGTGGCCAGATGAAACCAAAGTGGCCGGACACAGCACACCTCTCCTTCGCTCCTAGCTCCAACGCCCTCAGCTTGACTCCATCATAAAAGCGATGCGGGAAAGAAGAGTACGTTTAACCACACCTCACAATTTAATTAACCAGGTAATCGTAACCGCACTATGATGAATTACTGAAAAGGTGTTTGCAAACTGATTTCAAAAAGTGAACACTTGCAAAAGAGAGACTCACGTTCCAGGCCTGTCCACACCGATCCGGTAGTCGGTGAAACTTTTGTTCGGGTGGAAATTAAAGATGAACAGCAAACCAGCGCGTTCATAAGCAATAACCTTGTCATCCTCGTGTTTACGGCTGATGTAGGCCTAGATGGGGAAAAACGCCAGCAGGTAAAAAAAGAGTCAACCATCCGAGGACAGCAAAAAGAATCAGGAAACGATAACGCAATTAAACAATTTTCGTGTACAGACAGAGTCTGCAGAGGCAGATACCAAGGCGATCAGGAAAGTAAACAGAACAGATACTCGATTTTAATCGATCACCGTCTTAGAGAAAATGGGAGGTAAGGGGTCGCTTTGGCTACCACACAGAGATGGTAAGCGTACAGCTGAGAAAAACAGCTAGCACGTCTTCGCACGTAGTGCAGCTTATCCTGTCATAAAAAGCGCCGAAGCGAGGTCAACAATGGGAGGAGTTGGTGTATAAGGTAGCCAAGAATGCTGTATTGACAACTGCTAACGTAAGTAAACAAACAGTTTTGTGCAGTTGACGGGGTGGCGATGAAGAACAAAAGTAGGCAACGGTACATGTTTACCAACAAAACCAAACGAATTCACACCTTGACAGAGTTCACTTGATCACTGAGAGGTACGAGAAACTAAAAGGTGATGATAACGTGCGCAGAATGTTAAGGAAACAGAGAAGGCGAAGGTGAGGCCCAACTTTTAAACGACGAGAACGCAGAGACAAGTGATGGAAGAGGTAAAAAGTTCTGTCAATCAGGACTATGATCGGGCCTGGCATGAACTGCGTAGAGCATCACTCCCGCTCTAAATGGCGCAGTAAATTTAAACAAGGATATCCAGACACATCTCACGCAGGGAATGCTTGCCCCAGCCTCTTCTTCCCCTGGTTGACGTCCGCTGCTTGGTGGGAGGCCTCGCTTCAGCTTAGCACTCTTGGGCATCCCTTGGCTCTGTGTTGCTGGGAGCCGGTGTAATGCAGAAATTCTAAACTTATCGGTCGGGCAAAGTTACGCAAATAAGGCTGTGTTGTAACGGCATTTGATGTGGAAGCTCAGAATGTGCTGTGTCTGTCAGTACGCTGGGCATGATAACAAAGCGGTGATTCAGATAGCGAGGAATTCCAAAGACAAGGCCGTGGAAAACATGCTTACGGGCGTGGCCTAATGAAAAGGCAAGTGGAATACCATCGGTATTTTTGCGGATATGGTAGTTGATGCCATTATATTTCTTCTTGAACTAGGATATAGAGGGATAGTAATTTTATCACCTGCATATATCCTCAAAAGTTTTTCCACAAGCTTTACTGACTACCTAACTTCCTATAGTAAGTTTTTCTTAAAAACATTACATTTCACCTACTCCACCACGAGTTACGTTCGTTTCTGTCTACGTTCAAGTTGTAACAACTGATGGGATCCAAGAACCAATCTGGAAATTTGAGTGAGTCATTAAGTCATTTGAGCAGGACTGAAACAATACTTCATTACATGTATAAGATTACAAGCCCAACTAGCCAATATATGCACTGCAAAAGGAGTTCTAAAGTAGCGCGTTCACTCAGGAAGGAAAAAGGATCTGCTTTATGGGGTGACAATGTAAAGCAGCACATTCTTAAAATGTTTGTTTCCGGCAAATTAAAAAAAAAACTAAACGACATTATCCGCTATTGCAATCCTTTTACGTCGTAGGCAACAGAAGGAACGTGTGGGACTTTGTGTGAAGCTTATTTCGAGCGTGTCGGAAGCACTAGCTGTCAAAAATGGACGTAACTTCAACCGAACGGCAAACCAATCAGCAGCTTGTTTAAAAATATACACACCGAACAGTCAAATGAACAGTATTTACTATGTATCAGAAAGGCGAAACTAAAACATATTTTAGAGATTAAGAGTGCTAGCAATAAAAGCACCCATTACATTATACACAGTCCGAAATTCCAGGAAAACTCTTAAAACATAACACGGACAAAAAAACTTCCAAACACAAAACGCGCGAACCTTATCGGAATACAATGAACTGTAAGTGTTCATGCCAGCCTAAAATGTTTTACAGACAGGTGGAAGCCGATCAATACGAAGCATCTAGGAGGCACGTGTTTTGTTTAAACCACACGGCCAAAAATATCACTTCAAAACACCTAATTAGAAGGGCATTTCTCAGCGTTAAGGAGGAGATTGTGAAAATAAAAGCAGCAAGGGGTTTTCGATGGACCACAAGCTTTTCAGTTCTAATGTTAATAAATGTGAAAATTCAACTGAATTACATTTAAAAAAAAGTAGAAGGCGTCGCAACGCCTTCTACTTTTCTATCTACACATGTACCTGGGATGCGAACATTTGCCTCAATTCGTTAAAAAAAACTTCAGCGGGCATTTTTCGTGAAAGAATTAACGCGAAATATATTTAAAAGAGATAACTATTCGACTATCTAATAACTGAGGTTTACAGTGTGGGTGAAGCTGATGAACAGAGCACTAACTGCCATGGTAATAAGAATACTTGGGTCTAATGAGTCGTACAAGTTGACATTTCAGGGCTTCCGTGCTATCATTTTACAGCTGCTGAATTACAGATGAAATAGATAGCAAAGAGGCTATTTCAC